GGTGTGAGCTGGGGCTGGGTGACACGGGCTCCTGGGCTTTGGTGGAGAAAAGCAGGAGTCAGCTGGCTGCAGGAGATGCTGATGGCACGGCAATGGGCTCGTGGCACAGCTGGGAATGGGCTGGGGTGGGTCATTCATGCGCCGAGCATCCCATGTCCCAGTGATGGAGTGGGGTGGGTACCAGTTGGACCCCACCAGCCCTGCTCCTCTGACTGGGACGTGGGTGCTCGGGGGTCTCAGGATCCTCTCTGTGAACAGGGCAGCTCTCAGCGACGGTGTTTGTGTGTTGGTGATAAATACCCCGCCAGGCTCTCACCTCTCCCAAACTGCCCAGCCCTGCGGCTCCTCTTCCTCTGCTCCCCACGCCGGAGTGAGGAACACACAGCCCTCGGGGTCGGGGTGTGTCCCCCAGCTTCCCCCCCAAACACCAGCTCCCGTGCATCCCTCGTGCTGCTCCGTGCACACGCAGCTGTGGCTTTTTCCTCTCACACAGCATCAGGACACGTGTGTGCTCACCTCTCCCAAACTGCCCAGCCCTGCGGCTCCTCTTCCTCTGCTCCCCACGCCGGAGTGAGGAACACACAGCCCTCGGGGTCGGGGTGTGTCCCCCAGCTTCCCCCCCAAACACCAGCTCCCGTGCATCCCTCGTGCTGCTCCGTGCACACGCAGCTGTGGCTTTTTCCTCTCACACAGCATCAGGACACGTGTGTGCTCGTACATTCACACACACAGCTCACACACGTCACACCCACCAGCTACACCCATCTCGTGCTGCCTGTGCCAACCCCACTCACAAGCACCCGGCACACACCCACCCGTGCTCCTGCTGCTGTTACACAGCCAGTGCACGATCAACCCTGGTGCACACTCACACCTGGTGCACACTCGCTTCTCCTCTCTCACAGATGGTACACTGTACACACATCCAGTCACACTGCACGCTTGCTCCTGCTGCTGTCACACCCCTGGTGCACACTTGCCCCTGGTGCACACCCACTTCTGCTGCTGTCACACATGGTACACACTCAATCCTGGTGCACACTCAGGCCTGGTGCTGCTGTCACACCCCAGGTGCACACTCACCCCAGGTGCACACTGACTTCTGCTGCTGTCTCACACATGGTACACACTTGGTCCCGGTGCACGCTTGCTCCTGCCACTGTCACACCCCTGGTGCACACTCACCCCAGTGCACACTCACTTCTGCTGCTGTCTTACATCGTGCATGTGGTGCACACTCATCCCCAGTGCACACTGGCTCCTGCTGCCATCCCATACTTGATGCACACTCACTCACCCCAGTGCACACTCATCCCCAGTGCACACTCACCCCGCTCACGCTCCCCTCTCACCCCGCTCGCCTTTTTTGTCCCCCCCCTGCCGTTGTCGGGGCTGGTGCTCGGTGCTGCCGGGACGCCCCGCTCTCCCCTGACGATGCCGTACATGACCAGGACGTTGCCCAGCAGCCCCACCACACACACCACGGAGTAGAGCGCGGTGATGACGATGGCGATGAGGATGGAGGTGACGTTCTTGGCCCGCTGCGGCCCCGTCTCGTTGGCCCCGTGGCCGGGCAGGGGGGCCCAGGCGGTGCCGTTGCCCCAGGCGGTACCGGCAA